TATTATTTGTGATGGATAATAATGAAATAATGCTCCAACGGTAACTTTGACCATAATAATAATTTTTTAACGGTCAATTTGACTAGACCATTTTCGCGAATCAGATCTTTTCATTTACTTTTGTAGTTATTGACTTATATATTATCATTCTTGGACCTACTCCACTCGTTAAGTTGAGGGACTTATCCAGCAATATAATTTCATGATTGTTTTTAAACTAGTAATATTCATGTGACTAAATCAACATCTCTCAAACATTTGAATGACGCGATTAATTAATTAATTAAATTAATTATGCAAAATTTCATGTTGTTTTTATGCTTTTTGTCTTTAAAGATATTGGATAAATGGAACAATTTGTAACTTAGCCTGTTAGCCATGTGAAGGAGCCTAAAGGCATGAGGACGACAACGTAAGAGTTGGGCCACGCAATAGTTTCATTGCTTGTAACTAATGTTTTTTTTTATTACCTGAAAATTATATTTAGCCGAATTATATAAATATATATTTTTATCTTATTTTATTATTCAAATAAATAATAAATATTGCACTTACGACTTTTCAAACATTTTTTAAATAAATTCTATTTATTTATAACTTTTTCAAACTAATTCTTCTTGGCATAGAATATTCCCTATGCATATGCATGGTAGAGTGAATTACCAAGAAGAGGGATTTACGACTATTATACATCACCAATAGATTAGCAATTGAATTTCTAGAACATCTCGTGCATGTCGGAGAAACATCGACTACCATAGTCCCACACTCCCACAACCTTAATAATGAATACACATTTATTTCATTTAGTGAGTGTTTGGTAAATAACCGTTAGCTGATTAGGTTAATGAGTTTGACTAATTGATAACATTAGTCGATTGTAGAAAATTATTTTGTAAATTAGCTGATAGCTGATTACATGCAAAATGATTTTATCAAAAAAGTTATTTTGAGCAGTTTTTTAATTTTAACATTTTGGAGCACTAGTTATCACAAAAAGCTAATTAATCAAATACTCATATTAATTTTTTAACCAAATAAAATAGCTATTATAGTGACCAAATAAGCCAAAATTGACTGATAAACTAACTATTTTACCAAATATAGCCACAAAAAGCTAATTAATCAGACACTCATATTAATTTTTTTTAACCAAATAAAATAGTTATTATAGTGACCAAATAAGCCAAAATTGACTGATAAGCTAACTATTTTACCAAACATAGCCTTTATATGTTGTTCAATTAACTAGATTTGATCAATATTATTCAAAATATTAAGTTTATTGTTCTGTATGTCACAAAAACTATTAAAAGATCAAATCTACTTTGTAGACCTATTGAAGCACACATCGCTTTCACATAGGATCAAACCTATGACATTTCATTTGGAAGAATCACTTCATACCGCTTAGACCATAAAATCATTGACACAACAAACTCTTTTTAAGATTATTCAGAATTCACAGATCTCCAGAACATCCTATGCTGGTTCTTTTGACTGGTAATACTAGCCACCTTGTAATTCTTGTATTATGTTACTAATATAATTGTGCCCGTACAGATGGGCCCAACAAATGACAAGGTAATATATAGTGTTCTAGAACAAAATGATCTGATGCTTCCAATATGCCACTGCTTAAGATTTAAAAGAGAGATTGAAAAGAGATAAGTGAATAAGTAAAACATGATTCTAATATTAAAATATATTATGTATTTAATTATTATTGTTTATACATTTTCAATCGGATCCATTCTAATAATCTTTTTAGTGTGATGTGATTCTCATGTAAAGTTTTTCCACTATTATACATAAATAATTTTTATTTAATATATATTCTCAATTGAATAGTGATTATAAATTTTTGTCGTTGTCTGAAAATAAATAAAATAAAAAGATTGAAAGGAGAGTCCAAGTTGGAATTTGGAAGGGCAGCCCAATGTATTTGACTCTCATTATTGTTTTTCTTTCACAATGATAAGTAATTATTGTTGTTTAGACTAGTTCATTTCACACCTGCCTTCTAATTTTCATGCATACATTTCTACTTTTCTAGTACTATCCACAATTCACAAACCCTTTTCAACAATTATTTCTTCTAGAGCCTCTAAAGTATGGAGTAATAATTTTTGTAAAGTGTATTTGTAAAGTAGAAAAATGACTTTTAGTTATTTTATAAAAAATATTTTTCTTTCTTAGCATTTAAAAAATTTGTTTTGGTGTATTTAGTTCATTTTTTGAAAAATGAGCATAATTATTTTTAATTTTTTAAAATATACAATGATGGTGGTGTAACATATAGTATATTATATAGCAGTATAGGAGATATATGTTTGAGAGAAAATTCTGAATTAGAAGAAAACTACATTGCATAAGATAAATTTGTACACGTAATTATAACCCACGGCGCCGCAGTGCTTTAAACAGTAGAACAGTAGAAATAAAGGAAGTGGGTGGTCTGGACCGTCTGGTACATATATGTGTGAATTTGTAGGTCAAAATTAAAGGATAAAATCAAGAAAATTAATTATATTCCCTCCTAACAAAATTGATAAGAAACTATGTGCTACCAAACATACAAGGATGACTTACCTCCTTTGCCATTCACTTTTCTATACCTCCATAAGATTATATTTATGGGAAATTTTATCAATCTCCGAAAGGCAGAAACGCGGGAGATTTTACCTATTTCTTCCGTTATAAGGTTTTTGAAAATTTTATTATCATTGTCAAATTATACGATATTGGTATCTCATCATTGTTAAACTAATCAAAATGCAGCCCTGACTCAGAAGGTCATGCACGAGCTCGATTCTTGCCAACACTCTCGGTTGAGCCTGTCGCGAGGGTCTTTCTAGTGCGGTTTACCTCTCCTATGTAGTGGAAAAAAAAATTCAACCCTGACCGTGCCTACAGAGTTTAACTGTTATCCAAGAGAAAACTTAGTTTAAAGTTCTTTAACATAGTGCACACTGAATGATGTTTACGGGCCCGAACCCTGTATTAATATTGAGTACTATTGACTCTGTAACAATGTAGTATCTATCCATACATATTGTTTCCATTGAGGTTTGAACTTGTGACCTCCTATTAGGGAGAGCCACAATTATGTCGCTTGACCATAGAGTATTTGGCTTCATGATTAATAATTACTTATATAAGGCATTCATGCATCAACTTGTCAAATACAATCTAATATTATTTCAGCTGTTAATATAACTACAAGAAGATATCACCAAGCCACCATCCAACTGAAATATATTTGCTGCTACACATACTATCCCACTTCCCCAAATCAATCTACATATAGTTTATCATGAAATGTACTTTGGAATATTTTGTGTTTGGGAATATATATATATATATATATCTGCATCACATCAATATTGATCATAAAAGATCTCCATTTACGTGTATTAATTTAACATATTAATTAATTAAATTGCATAGGTTAGATGATCTGATGAGTGGATGGTCTTTGTTTTTATTTTATTATTGAGATCTGAAAAATTAATCATTTTTGTTGTGAGCTGTACTATGGAAAGACAACATTAGCTGTTCATGTTTTGGTGTCCATCCATGACCTAACTAATTGACATGATTTCCCCATCTCGTACAGCTTAATCTGGGCATTTTTGTCTACCATTAATGGCCTGATTCCTTTTGATTTGAATTAAATCCCATCCAATTAGCGTTCTTAATTCAATTATTATTACCCCATTATTGATTGTTATTAGTTCAATTATATATGTATATCCCTCCTAGACAAATTGGTTAGTCAGTTGTCTTGGTAACCACAAGAATTTCGATCTCCTGAGAGTTATTTATTAGCTTTTTTGGTTTGAGCTGGTCATAAGTATACATAACTTAGGTTGGTTTACGTTCTTAAGATCATTTGCCGATTAGGATTATCACAAGGTAGGATTTCAATCAAAGTACATCTTCGTATATTGACTGTGAACTTTCTTGAACTAGGCCAAACCTCCCTTTTTGGTCCCCGGTTTTGTGTTATGATCTTGACCATGGTCCTTACTACTTTCATTTCTTTAATTAATGAAAAACACAACACAAGCTTATCTCATTGATGATGAAACACAATTTTAACTTACGAAAATTAAAAATAAAATAAAAAATTGCAAAGAAAGGTCAAAGATTCTCAAAAAGTAGTAATAAAGGAAGTAGAAAAAAGCAAAATCAAAAATTTGGAAGTTAGTTTGTCTTCTAGAAAAGAAAAAAGGAGATGAGAGAAAGTGTTAAACACGAACCAAACCCCACCCACATATCACTTTCCCTCCTATCTTATCAAACCAAACAGCCCCTCCTCATCAACCTATTGAAAACTCTCCATCCAACAATTCACTCTCATCTAACCATTTTTATGTTATAGAATGTCACAAAAATATTTACCAACATGTAATTCTTTATATAACAAGTTTGTAATAAGTGTCCCTAATTAAAGTTTGATTAAAACTTCAATTCCTAACGAGTTAGTAATAAGTGTCCCTAATTAAAGTCTGTTTTTTTATATGATTAATGCTATACGTACAAGAGTTGATTAATAGTGACGGAATCTGCACTATCAAACACAGGCGTAGTGAAGCAAACTTGTGTGGCAACACAATTACACATGCATAGTGAAGCAAATATGTGTGCTGACACAATACATGACTGTCGACACATATAACGTCTGATAATGTAACGTCTCAGTCTACACATTTTTTATAACCCTTCAAAGAATCCTAGGAGTTTGTTACTTGCCCAAAAATTCGTAGTGTATTTTGGTTATTTTATTTTGTATGTATTAAAAAATAGTGTTATAGAAATTTTAATGTTTTGTAAATGTTTTTTGACTTATTTAATTCCGAGTTTCAACAATATATATATAAATAGCCTTCTTCTCTCCCACTCATGCAGTAGATTTTCACGTCGCTTAATATCCTCACTACTCATCCCCTCTCTCTCTCTCTCTCTCTCTCTGTAACTTTGTTTCTCTCACTAGAATGCCTCCTCAGGTTGATCTGGAAACGTTAGTCTCGGCCTGCGCCGGCGGCGGAACGGATCGGAAAATCGCATGCGAAACATTGGTGGAAGATAACGCGGCAGACAAGGAAGACAGTTCCGACGACGACGATGCCGGAAGGGAAGCGCCGCCGGATTTTCCGCCGGAGTCTTTCTGGCTGTCCAAAGACGCCGAGCTGGATTGGTTCGACCGGAACGCTTTTCTGGAGCGGAAGGAGTCGGCGAAGGGAATAAACTCGAACTCGAACCCGACGACGGCCCACCCGAATTTGAACCCGGGTTCGAATTCGAGCTCGCAGCGGTTTTTGAAGTCCAAAGCTTCGCTGCTCTTCGGGCTGCCGAAGACGCAGAAGATGAACTACGTCTGGAAAACCTGTAGCAAACCGGCCAATATCCGGCTTTTCCCGGCGAAGCGGACCGAGTCGATCGGAAAAGTCGTGGCCGAACCGTCGTCTCCGAAGGTTTCGTGTATGGGAAGAGTCAGATCGAAGCGCGGATGCCGGAAATCTTTGTCGACTGGAGAAAAACCGACTGAGGATCACGCGGAAACCGGCGGAGATAAGCGGAGGACCGGGTTTTACTCGAGATTACTCTCCATGTTCCGGACGAACCGGAGTCACAAACCGGCTAAGAAAATCGAGGCCGGGCCAAAACGCGAGGAGCCGGAGCCAGAACCGGGTCGAAAGAGCGTCAAGGCGGCAAAAATGCGCGACGTTCCGATAAGTGCTGAACCGGTGCCGGAGCCGCCGGGGCTAGGGGGAATGAGGCGGTTATCGTCGGCTCGGAAGTCGGAATGCTGGGCGGCGGAGGAAATCAAAGCCGCGATTTCGGAGGCTTTTGAAACGGAACGGCGGCGCGGCGGCCACAATGGGTGAAGTTGATCGCGGCGGTCGTCGGAGTCTTTGGTGGTAGTTGAAACTTTGCGGTCGGTCGTTGATCTGACGTGGCTTGTGGAAAATGTTTGTCCTCATTTCATCAAGGTAAAAGATAATATTTTTTTACAGTTTTATTTTAGGCTTATTTTTATTATATAATTAGAATAGGTTATTGTAAATATATTGGGTTGGAGTGGAACGGCTTGTAAACTTCACTACTATTAATGAGAAAAAATTACCATGGAAACTTCACCTTTCCAAACTGCAAAAATGTCACAAATTAAAGTAACATTTCCAAGTAAATACCACGAGTAATATCATATACTTTTAAGTAGCAATTCTTATTTGATAATTAATCAATTAATCAATTTATTCGTGCCATAATTTGATACAAACGGATAAGATTTGGCCAAATACAATGTACAAATCATTCAATAATACCACTCCAAAAGTGGACGAGTGGATGAAATATGATTTTCTTACCAGAAGATAATGAACTCAATTCCTGCCAATACTCACACATCGCACATAATCTTTCTAGGCTTCACAAACTATTACAGAAAAATGGAATTATCCAATGTACACATTCGAATACTGACTGTAAATTTTATTTGTCAACTAATTTTAAATCTAAAAATTTTCTATTTTTCTCCTAATATATATAGTCACATGTAAGTTAACTGACTTTACTATACAATGTTGGAATTTTACGTAAGAGTCATAATTTACTGGCACAATCCATAGGGTTACAATGATAAGGATATGTTCATGGGCAGCTTAATTGGTCACAGAAGTGAAGTTTAGAAATAATAACCAGAATCGAGTCTCACCCGCAGTAATGTGTGAGCAAACCTCTTAGAGCAGAGTGACTTGTAGACAGCTGTATTCAGCTGAATTATTATGATCCCAAATACTTTAGGGAATTCAACCTTTTGGAAACACCTACAATGATAAGGATATTGGATGCAGTAAAGTCATTAGGTTAGTTAGGGTTTCATTCTTCCTACCAACTTGGGTGTATTAAATGATGTCTGGTACCGAAAAGGTCAATGCATATTGTTACCTTCCTCATATTTTTCCTTAATTGACGTGTTGACCGGTTTGTTTGAAATGCCAAAAATATTTAATTGCAGAAAATGACAGACAACCTATTGGAATGCACAAATGGTTATAATTAATTTTATTTCCAAAAAATTATAATTAATTTTGATTGTCAGTTATTTTTTCCTTTAATTAAATCAATAAAATTGATACAAACTATGCCTTTTTAATTCACCTTTTAAATTAAATAAAAACTAATTATCATTCACAAATAAAATCAACAATTTCATAGTTAGAAGTTTTATTATGTAAAATGAATATTCAAGACTAAATTGGCAAATCTACCTAATCGAAGAATCAGATTGGCAATTTATTATTGTTTTTGTAGTTTGGGACAATTGGTACACAAATTGCTGATGTATTTTTAAAAGTTTTGAATTAAATTTTCTATAAACAATATCAGCTGGTCAAAACTGTTAATCCGCTAATTGCTAATTACTCTTCATTACTCGCTAATTGCTAATACAATTTGTTAACTATTAATCATTATTAAATAACCGCTAATTGTGAAACAAGACTTTGTAAATGTGTTTTGTAGTGATAAGAATATAATATTGGTTGTTGAAGGGTAAGTAAACACCCTATTGTGTGATGTGTAATTAAGAGGTGAAAAGTCACATGTCTTGCATCCTCGTACACGTAGGTGTGTCCCTTGCTAATTGAAGAAATTGTACATATTCTCCATGCTCCCATAAGTACATGTATGGAGATTATCGAGGTGAGGTGGCGTGGAAGTTAGATCTAACTTATTATATTTTTATTGGTGAAGATGATAAAATAATTATTGTTCAAACGTGGAATGAAAACCAACATCAACCAACCAGCTTACCAAATGCCACTTTCTTTTGTTTTATTATTTTGGTAGCATTATCTAGAGTATGCACCGAGTAAATCTCATTAAGTACCAATGTTGTAAAAATCATTTCTAGATGTCGATTAATTGACACTTAGGCGCTAGGCGGCGGCCGACCGCCTAAAAATTCGGCAGAATCGTTGTTCTAGGCGGTCGGCCGCCTAGGCGCTCTAGGCGCCCTAAGCGCAAAGTAGGTATTCGTGGCCTAGGCGGGATTTAACTAATTTTTTTAAAAAATAAAAATAAAAAATGGCGCCTAGGCGTAGGGCTGTGCATCGGACGGGTTCGGGCGGATCGGTTTAGAAAACCGTTCATCCGCTCGGATTTCGGATTGGGAAAAACTACCCCAATCCGTTCGAATTAAGAGGGAAATCCTATCGGATTTCCCATGTTCGGATACGGTCGGGTGGGGTCGGATTTCGGTTTGAACTCGGATTAATATAAAACATACCAAAAAAAAAAAACTGTAACAATGTTCAAACTTAATAACCATAATCTAAATTACCAAAGCTATCAGCTATGTAGGCATTTAGATTTTAGATACATAATTACATATTGCAGTTTCCAACTTGTGTTCAAAATTCAAAAAGCAAAAATGAAGTCCACAAAATGAGTTTTGTCTACAATACTCAAACAACACTAAACTACTAACTACTAACTACTAAAGTACTCAACAAGTCAGCAGTCAGCAACTCAGCAAGTCAGCAAGTCAGCAGTCACCAATCAGCCTTCAGCAATCAGCATTCATCCATTCCTCATCTTCCTGCTCAATTACAAAACCAGTAAAGACTTTAAACTTTAAAGCCAATAAAGACAAAGAGAAGTAGGGAACTAATAATACTTAATAAGAAAGGCTCAGATTGCTTTTTTTCATATCATTTTAGAGTTGGGGGCAAATTGCTTCATGAGTTTTGTCTCAGAACAACATACCAAACACCCAAACTCTTTTTAATTCAGACAAATGGTGGAAGCATCATCATAGCCATAAGTCCATAACTAAACAGAAATGAGAATATGAGAGGAAGGGAAGTGATATACCAGAATTCCAGAATACCAGAGATGTAACTGAGTAAGGGCAGCAACATTTATAAAAAAGTTACCAAGCCACTTAGCAATTAGCAGTTCTGGAATCTTACCTGATTTGCCTCAAAGAGTCCACACATTTATCAATCAAACTAAACAGAAAGTCAGAAAGCAATGTTATATAAAAGTATTACAGCAATTGTTGGGAGTGTTCCAACAGTACTTGGTAAAGAACCAGCAGCTCCAGTGGACAATTCTGCACAAAAAGGAAAAACAAAAAAGAATTTAGAAAAGGTAAGTAACAATTAACAATTTATAAAGTAGAAACCTACAAAAGATATAAAATAAAAACAGTACCCTTCTCTAATCTTTCAACATCATCCAAGTTTTCCTCCACAGAGATTGGATGATTGGGTGCCCTCAACCAATCTTGTGCACATACTAGGGATTCAACAATTTTAGGAGTTAATGAACTCCTAAAGGGATCTAATACCCTACCACTAGTACTGAATGCACTCTCAGAGGCAACAGTTGAAATGGGAACAGCCAGCACATCCCTTGCCATTCTAGAGAGTATAGGAAATCTATCACTGTTAACCTTCCACCATCTTAGAACATCAAAGTCCACATTTTCTTCATCTTCCACTATTTTTTCACTTAGATAAATCTGGAGTTCAGTTTCTTTACTGCTTCCACCAGCCTCCATTCTCTGTTTTTTAAGCTGGCTTTTCATTCTACCCTGAGGTTTTCCAACTGAAGTTTGAGAATGGACTGGTTCAGATTGGGTAGATTGCACAGTAGGGGATGCAGACTGCACACTGTAGGTGGCTGTATAATCATTAAACAGGACAACCATAGAAGATTGAACCTTTTCAAAGCATGATTTTCCTTTTTCATCACCATACAACTGAGCAAATTGGGCAGGCATGTACTCAATCTTATCCCTAGGATCCAGAATATTGGCATAGAATATCAAGAAGTTCATTTTTTCAGGATCTCCCCAATATTTTTCAAATTTTTGTTTCATATGGGACCCCATATCCTATAAAACAGACATAACACAGAAAAAATTAAGAGATGCATACAAACACATTCAGATAAATGATACCAGTTTACAGTTTACCTTTTCAGAGGTTGAAACAGAGTTAACCATGTCATCCAGCATGCAACCTAAGTCAGAAATCTCAGAAAAGAAAGTATTTGAAGTGACATATAGAGAACCAGATATTCTCACAGTCATCTCATAGAAGCCTTTCAGGAAATCGACTAAGCTTTGCACAGAAAGCCAATCCATAAAGTTTGGAATAGAATCAGGTAAGTCAGCATTCAATGAGGCATCATTCTCATAAGCTTCAAAGGCCCTCTGGTATTGAAGGGCAGTGTTAAGCATCATGTATGTGATGTTCCATCTTGTTGGAACATCAAGTTGTAATGCACATTTGGCTTCCACCCCATTAAGCACAGCAATCTCTCTAAACTTCTTAAGTCTGGCAGGAGAACTCCTCACCCATCTCACAACATCTCTAACTTTCTTAACAGAAGGACCTGCATATCTCAACCCATCCTGGACCACTAAGTTCAACACATGGGCTATGCACCTCATGTGCATATATTGAACCCTAACAGAAGACCCACCCCAAGACAGAAGTTTGTTCTTGAAAAACCCCAAAGCTGTGTCATTTGAAGAGGCATTATCAACAGTAACAGTGAACACATTTCTAATCCCCCAATCAAGAAGACAACTCTCAAGGGCTTTGGCTATATACTCTCCCTTATGAGAAGAAATTGGGACAAAGGAAATGATCTTTTTGTTTAGCTTCCACTGATCATCAATGAAATGTGCAGTAATGCACATGTAATTGATCCTTTGGACAGAGGTCCATGTATCAGTGGTCAAGCTGACCCTTTGGGTGCTCACCTTAAACAAATTTTTTAGGGTTATTCTCTCATCTAGGTAAATCTGATAAATGTCTCTAGAAATGGTCCACCTAGAAGGGATTTGAAACCTAGGACAAGCAACTAA